AAAACACATTTATTATCTTTGAATAATTATATTTCAGAATTATTTAAATGTTCAAATACTCCGGAAAAATAAACGATTCAAAAAGTATTCTACTGTAGTAAATACACATTTTGATCATTTTGAAAATATTTTTTGAAAATTTTTTATACTGAAATTTTTGGTGCTTTCAGCAAGTAGATTTTCTTCTTCGATTTTTATATTTATTTTACTTTTTGTGGAAAGTATTTGTGTACCAGGCGAATTAAATGTTCAAATACTCCGGAAAAATACACAATTCAAAAATTATTCTACTGTAGTAAATACTTATTGCGCTCATTTTGAAAAAAAAATTTTTTAGTTCATAAAAGTAACATTTTTTGAAAATGTTTTATACTGAAAATATTTTTTGAGGGAAAGGCTGATTTCAGCAAAGTAGATTTTCTTTTTCAATTTTTACTTTTATTCTACTTTTTGTGAAAGGTATTTGTGTACCTACCAGGTAAATCAAATTTTATCCTCACAACACTTTTTCTAATTTAACGAAAATTGTAGAAAAATTTCAGATTTTTTTAAATAGAAGAACGTTTTGTACAATTTTGTTCAGTAGTTTTTTGTTTATTTTTGGTGACATAATTTAATTTTTGAGGAAATAATTACTTTATTTTTGATACTGAAACACTTATCTTCGCATGAATTATGGTAGAATTGTTAAATTTGTGCTAGAGAGGAATCTGAACTCAAATATTTGGTTGAATACATAGATTTGTCAAAAAAATTATAATTTTAAAATAAAAATGTTTTTAATGAGAATTTTTCTCGTCGTAAAAATGCCGTTTTTTCATAGTTTTATTTTTTATATGGAATTTTGGCACAAATAAAAAACATTTATGATTTTTGGATAGTTATAAAGTATCTTTTTTTAGTTCATGAAAAAAAAAAACATTTTTGTGAAAGTTTAAAAAATGAGACGATGTGTCAATTTAGAGTGAAAAAATATATCGAAAATATTTCTTGGTGGAAATGCTATTTTCAGAAAAGTAGATTTTCTTCTTATATTTCACAATTATTTGTATACCAGGTAAATCAATTTTTATGCGCACCCCTCAAAACACCTTCCTAATTAAACAAAAATTGTAGAAAAATTCTTAAGGGATTTTTTCAAATCTTGTTCTGAGTTGTTTTTTTGTTTATTTTTTCCTTAAATTGATTACATTTTTAAGGAAATATGTCGCTAATTTTCAATCAGCATTTTGATATTAGAACACTTATTTTCGTAATTTGGTAGAATCTGTAAATTTGATTTTTCAAATTTTTTCAATTTAATAAATAACAAATAAATAATGTTTTTCAATGAAAATTTTTACAATTTCGTTTTAACGCGGTGTTTTGTGGGGTGGGGTTGCAAGTTGCTTGCTTTTCGACGTTTTTAGAGCTAAATTTGTCAAAAAACATGTAGTTTTTAGAACCGAAATGCTTTTTTGAGTATTTTAATGACACGCAAATTGGAATTTAGGCAGGTGGACCACCAGTACGAATTGGTGAATTCTGACTATCAGTGGCGCGAGGTCCAGAAAAAGTTGTACAACGAGAGCACCGTTAACAGTATTCAGCAGGCCAATGTGATAAGCAGTCGTCGTCCCTGTCAGCAAATTTATGACGTCAAGAATGACTGCGAGATGATTTATCCGAATAAAGTGCGTAAACACCGCAAACACCGCTCCCGATCTCGTTCCCCGTCCGAACCAAAGTCTTGGCTTTCCGAAGAATTGAAAAAGCATTTAGAATTCGATCTTATAGATACTACGGGTATGTCCGATTCTCAACTGAAGGAAATTCCTTATACGGTAGTCCAAACGAATAAACCTAAACAGATCAAGCTGAAACCGCAATGGAATAAAAGGTAGGAAAAGCCGAGCGTTTCATTTTCCTTACCCGAAAAATTACAGCATTCACGACGATAAAAAATGCAACACTCCACCTCCACCATACTCACCTCACATTACGGAAACGCATAGAATACGAAATGTTTGCCTAGGTCATTATAATTTAAACGAAGATTTATCGCCACAATTGACTTATAACGGAAATGATAACAGCGCGGATGCTTTGCCAAGGTGAACGATGATCACACTTTGCCCGAGTTGTGACTTTCATTTTTTCCAGAATGTTTAATTCCTTGGAAGTGGCCTCCAGGAGACAGGAAAATTCGGATCACTTAGGAATAAGTCACGAACATACGGATTCGGGACTCGGGACCGAACAAGACTGTATTTACAATAGCGAAAAGTATTTTCCCACTTTTGAACGACTCAAATTCAATGATTTTTTCAGGTCGAATGAAAGGAACGGATTTAATAATGTCGAGGATTATTTATTAGTGAGTATTTGATGAAAATTTTGGTTGAGTGTTAGATTTGGGCTTACTAATGTTAACAACTCAATCAATGATTTTAAAATCGACACTATTGTAAGGTTTCAGGTCCAGAGAGATTATCAAATGTTGCTGAACACAATGCGTTACCACAAACAAATTCAGAAGGAAGCAACGCCGCTATTGCAGCGATAGATTTATCAGAAATGAGCACGGAGCTGTAATTTACATTCTAGCAATCCAAATAATTTTATGTAATTTTAGTGTGACAATAAATTATATTATCTACTTGAGTGTTTCTTTAAAAGTATCGATTTCCGGTAATCACACAATTACAAGCTAATTTTTCATTCCCAAACTGTTATATTTTATTATGGTAATGAAATAATTGCGTTTTGAACAAATATTTGCCCAAAAAAATCACCAAAACCCGAATAATGATCTCAGTAATCTACACAATTCCCTTCCAAGGGCTAAACTAATGTAAGCGCAGGGCTGGAACGATTTTATCCGATTTTCTTCGCCGATTCACGGACAAGCCTTCTGCTTTGTTTATTCTAAATTAGGACCTCTCATGACGGCATTCACCGAAAAATCCCGCTTTTAATTTATTAAAACGCCAGTTTCCAACTTGTTGAACTGTTATTGTTAGTGGGCGGAAATCAACTTTTATGACGTTTCAATGTAAATTAGTTTTTTCAGGTGTATACATGGTTGTATACCTGAATGTGGCCACAAACATTTTACGACTTTGCTTGACATAAAAAAATCGGCTATATTATTTTTATACGCGAAACTTCCAAATTGGTTTTTAATCTCGTGGCGAAGCAGCTACTAAATCCAGTGATCAATTGGTCGGTGTGCCCGCCTCTCCCATACATATTCAAGAGTTTATTTCCGGGTCTTGTGATCTGCTATGTTTCTCAACACACACCAGACACCACCTTCCCGTACGCATAGCTCGGGGACAGGCGGTATAATCATGCATAAATAAAAATATTGACACAGGCAGACAACGTTTAAATCGATATAAACAAGATTAGTTGGCATTAATAATCTGCACGTTGATAACTCGATCACCTGTGCACCAAATAACGATATTTTAACCGTTAGTGGCATTTGCACTAAAAAGGCAAACTTATGTTGTCTTAACTATACTTATGTATGGGAGAAGATTTTGAATTTTTATGTTATGCAAATGGTGGAGTTAGCATTTGGTGTCATTTCTGTGTTTTAATGCGCCGGTATTGAAACTTGAAGGGGTTTCATTTCGGTGGTGGTTTCAAACTCGGTGAAAAAAGCATTCTTTGTGAAAATTTGCCATTTCTGAAGTAAAGTTTTGGAATATTTAGCACAAACGCCCATGAATAACAGGTGAGCGCATGCGCTGTTAGTATAGTCGAGTCAGGGTGGGGTGGACAGCTAGCTTCAGTTTTTGAACAAGTCTAATAACGCGGTTGTTGTGTTGAAGGTTGTTTCGGATGCTGGTTAAAGTTGTGATACCGGTATTGTGTTCAATTTTAAATAATACAAACTAAGATTAGAGTTTGAGCGATTGAAAACTGGAGCTGGAGCTGAGTTTGGGTCAGAACAAAGTGTACATCGAAGTATATAGCAATATTGTGGATGAAACAGATTCTAACCTAAATAGTATCCACAGATGCAGTGAAGTTCAAGCTAGTATGTTGTCCACTTAGAGCTTCGTTTGTGAAATAAGACAAGTGGATAACGATAGTGAAACGCGTGTTTGTGATTTTCGACTATTAAATTGTGGATTAACCTTAAAGTGTAATGTGTGTAAGTGGGTTGCACTGAGTTTCACTTCCTATGGGAAATGGACACTATATAGGTAAATGGAGTTGCACTCTGCGAATTAAATGTGCAATTACATTACTAAATACTTAAATCAAGTCTTGGTGTTGGTCACCAGCTGCATTCCATAATACAGTATAGCCAACAACCAACAAGAGTTTCGGTCCAGACTGAGCTCAGCATCCGTTTTCGTATTTACTTCTAATATCTGTAATATTTTGGCTGTATTTATCGATTTCTCCCGGTCACGACACTTTACTCGTTCCATTCACAAACCGAAATTGTCTTAAACCCTCAAATGCGAATATGTGACACAAAATAATTCGATTGACACATTCGTATGATCAAATTCTTAAAGAATGTAAACATATGTTTCATTTAACTGGGAGTCCCCTCCCCTGGATTGTACTATTCACCGGCAAATGTGACTGTACTCATTCTTTGTCATTCATCCAAGTACACTCCCGGCAACAAACAACCTACTATGGACTCAGTTACCCTATGACAGATGCAATCATCACTTTTCCTTACATTTCACACACATTAATTCATTCAATGGTCAAACAAACTACACATTGTTGCCCGACAGAAATGCTATATTGGACTGGCGGGTCAAATGCAAAATTTACCAAATTTGGATTAGTCCATACGTGGAAGTGGAATTTTCATTAGCGCCAAGCCCACTAAGAAACATCTTTCTTATGCCAAATGGTATTGTCACCTGTGTTGTGATTTTAAAAATTAATTGCCGTGGTTTAACTTTCCCCGTAATTTGTTATTCTGGGTACATTTGTAATTTTCGTGGAACCTGGTCACGTATCCTTTTATTTGAGCACAGTGACCTTAAAAGTGACTAAGAAGAATTTCATATTTGAAGAATTCGAACCGGTTGATTGGAATATGACCATATGGAGGTGCAGTCTTAGGAAAATGGCCGTAATGAGTTGCAGTTGGGACGATGGGAGGGTGGTGAAATCAAAACCACATTTCGAAAGTAGACCGAGATGGGCATGTCTGTGAAACGTCTTTATAAAGTCCTGACAATGTTGCGATTGAAAGTTGCTGTTTAAACACATTGATCAATAAACATTGCGCAATTAAAATTGTTTTTCTGTTTGATGATTGAGCGTGTGAGCGAATTACATTCTCAACTAAATTCCCAATCGTTGGTGGTTCTACTACTAACGTTACTATAAACAAATCCACATCAGAGAGAAACTCCTAATAAGGTTATCGCAGGTATCGGAAATCGACAATGTTATTAGTTTTACATCAACGGTGAGCTTCATTTAAGGCAATATTGTCATAGCTGTGTTAGCTATAACTGAAAAAAATGTTCCACTTTTTGGTGAATAAAACAACAGTCACGAGTTAAATTCACTGACTCAAGCTGGATTTAAACAAAGAACAATGATTTTATTCGTGTCGGATCGAATGAAATGAAAGTTTTTCACTTTATCACACATTTTAAATAAATTTTTCAAAATCGCATTTCCCGATGTAAACTATGTGCAATTTCTGTTTATTCCAGTTGAGTGAACTCTCGAGACTTAACAACTCTAGAATTGCACAAATGTTTTATTTTTATTTGATTGATCGGAAAAAATACGAAACGGTTAGTTGCATTGTTGACATGGATTAACTTTAAATGACGTGTGACGACTGATATATAATTTTAATGAAAACGTTAATATGAAAAGGACGGGAAAGAAACTCGATCAATTTTTCAGAGGGGCAATTTAAAGATTTGACTCTGCACCTCCTTCGTGGTGCGAACTGTTTTTTATTATTAAATAGACAATCATGGAACGAGTAAATATATAACGAGGAGTTTCGCAACATACCCGAAATTTATTAATTATATAATTGATTGGGAGATAACCTTGATTAAGAACCGGTGAAACTAATTAATGCAATTTCGTTATCGATATATCCGTGCTTGTGTAACACAATTAAGTTTCTTTTGTGGGCGACGAAAAATAATTTCCATCCGAGAGACACTTTCTCTAAATAAATTACCCAACTAATCGGATGAAAAAATTGACACTTTTGACAGGAATGAAAAAACTAATCGACGACCTTGCGGAGAGGGACGGATTTTGTGACTCACCTTGTATAGCTATTAATTATTCCCACTTTACAATAACATTCTTCGAATGCTTTATGAATTGTCTTTATCAAATTCAGTGTTTGCGATTTTGTTCGGACAAGTTGAAACTTGTAAATTAAACGGCTGACATCTTTTCAGTTTCAATTACTGCTATTTAGTAAATTTTATGAATGGTGGCGGGGCGTTAATATGTTGCTGTATTTAAAGTCAAGATATTTGAAATGGGCATTTAATTTAATTCAGTTTGGAGGCTTCATTAATAATAGTCAGATCAGAACGATCAATCAAAATATGATGTAGGTAGATTTAGCGACAGGTATTATTAAATAGTCATTTTTAAGGGCTACTGGTGTGAAAATTTTTGCTCGGTTAGTATTCGCTTGTGTGGTTAATGTATGTTGTATGTTCCAGGTCCCATGCCTTGAAGTTCCTGGAGCGCTGGTGCCGCTATGAAGCGGCCGCTTTTTACATTAATTGTGGCTGTGGCCGCTGCCACAGCATTGACAGCAGCCGCTTCGTCGAGCAACGACATTATCAAAACTTTCACCGATCCAAGTGTACAAGCATTCAACCATCTTGTGGTGGATAAAAATACAGGACGTGTATATATCGGCGCTGTAAACCGTTTATATCAATTATCACCCGATCTAGACTTAGTAATATCAGAAAAAACGGGACCAGAGATGGATTCAGATGACTGTTCGGTGCTCGAATGTACATCTGCTTTTAGTAAAAAATTAACTGATAACGTAAACAAGGCCCTAGTGATCGACTATACAACGTCGCGCCTGATCTCTTGCGGTAGTCTATTCCAGGGGATTTGTTCAGTTAGAAATCTGGATAACATCGCTGAAGGGGTGCGGGTGGTTCGGGAGGCTGTCGTGGCGAACAATGCGACGGCTTCAACAGTCGCGTTTATAGCTCCAGGTCCACCCAATCCCCCGGTGTCACAAGTGATGTACGTGGGAGTGACGTTCACGTTAGGGTCACCATATCGGTCCGAGGTGCCCGCTGTCAGTAGCCGGTCACTGGATAAGGACAAAATGTTCACAATTGCTCAAACTGCAGTGACAACTGGGACGCGAATGTTCGTCAATTCGCTCGCTCGCGAACGCTATCCGATAACGTACGTCTACGGATTCGCTTCGGAAGGTTTCAGTTATTTTCTCACGACTCAGATGAAACATACCGGTTCAAACCAGTTCATAAGCAAGCTAGTGCGCGTTTGCCACGACGATGAGAATTACTACTCGTACACGGAGATCCCCATCGACTGTATTAGCGATTCGCAAGGCCAAGGCGGCCGCAAATACAACCTAGTCCAGGCCGCCTACGTGGGCAAGGCGGGCTCAGACTTGGCTTCGGA